CAACTGTTTGCAGTGTCTTGTAGTCACATGACTGTGATTTCCAATGTTTTTTCCAGTTTCCAACAAAAAAACACTGATTTGGGAAAAATGAACACTCTTATGGCTGTGTGTTTTGTTTAATAACTGCATGTTTTAGACCTTACAATCACATGATATGCTTAATGACCACTGTAAAAACTGTCATAAAAATTGGGTCCAGTCATGTAGGTGTCTCGACATAGAACTAGCACAACTTAAACCAAAATTATGCTCCCAATTGCAGTCATAAGTTAAGGACTATCTGTAGACAGAAGTACTACTTCTTTCAAGATTTTCTGTTTATTGGTTTGCTTTATGGTCTAGACTCTAGACTATATTCCCTGGAAAATACCATTACTCTCACAATTATAATAACTATTTTTAAAAAAATCCTTTTAAGCTTCTCAGTATAAACAAGATTGGCTAAAAGCTACCTCTTAGTGAGACTATCCATTTTAAAGTTACTTAAACTGAAAGTCAATATCATATTGGATGCAGCAATCGAATAATGAGACTGAGGGGCTCATTCTGGCTGCACAAGAAGTCTTAAGAACAAATGCATATAAAGCCAGGATTGAGAAGAAAGCAATAGACAGCAAATGCTGTCTCTGCAAAAAGCTGAATAAAAACAGTGGACCACCTAGTTAGCTGCCGCAACAAGATTGCACAAACTGATTATAAAGATCCTCATGACAAAGTAGCAACAACACTGCATTGGAATTTCTGTAAGAAATACCATTTGCCTGCAAGTAACTACTGGTGGGACCACAAAATAGACAAACTCATAGCAGTGCTCTGGGATTTTAGAATTCAAATAGACAAGCATCTGCCACACAACATTCAAACTTAACAACTGTTGATAAGAAAGACAATGTGGCAGTATCTGGAGACAGGAGAATAGAAAAATATCTGCAAAAAGAAGTAGAACTGTGGCAAAAGAAAGAAAAATAATATCAATAGTAATAGGCAAGGTGGGTGCAACCCCCAAACATCTGGAGCACCACTTTAACACTATCTACATGGACAAAATCCCCATCAGTTAACTGCAAAAGACAGCTTTACTTGGAACAGCTTACATCCTGCCACTATATCTCTAATACCATCAAACATCTGCCTATCCAAAGTCCTTGAGAAAGTCTTGATACATGGAAAAATACAACAAATCCAGTCTAAACATCTGACGGATTGTGCAACAAAGCATAATAATAAAAACTTAAATACAGCTCTACTCCCAAAGACTATGGGGACAATCAAAGAAATTACATTCAACAGAAGATTAAAAAAAAGGGAAGTGTGACAGACCAGATGGAACAAAGCAAATCTCCCTTATTCTCGCAGAATGGAGCTATCCATATCCCAGAGGAACCTTATTCCAGAGCACACAAGTGCTGCTACCCAGAGTGCCAACCATTGCAAAATTTGGATAGGCAACACTACAGAGACAGGCAATGACAATTAAGTACTCTGAATGGAACCAAACTAGGACTCAGTGTATTATATGGGCATACTGATGCATGGCTACCATCCCCACCCCAACAACAACACTTAGTGGAACTGGTTCTGGACAAAGGAAGAAAACTGCCAAAAAAAGAGTTACCCCATCTCCAGGATGCAAAACCAGCTCAAAAGGATATGTGGTCAATGGTGTTGAAGCCAATGAGAAATCAAGGAGCACACGGATGGATGCACCCTTTTTATCTTGGTCATCAACAAGCACAACCAAGGCTGTCTCAGCACTAAAGCCTGGTTTGAAACATGAATGAAACAGATCTAGATATTCTATTTTTTCCCAGGGTTCTCAACTGCAGCCTGACAAGTGATGTATTTTTGTTCTGATCTGAGTCAGAATCTGGGGCAGCAAAATGCCAGTGGAAGAAAGGAAGCACCCAAGACACTGGAGCCTGGAAGTTGATGGAATGGCATGGGCCTGGTTGTTATACAAGTTAATAAGGTGATTTTTAAATGTTTTGAGCCATTTTCTTTCTGTAAAGTTGGTTTTTGATTTCTATTTTCCACAGTGAGTGGACAGGTAGCTATATAAATCAAATAAATCTCACTGTTTTCTCTAACTGCAGGTCATGTAAGTTTAAAAAGCTGTGGTCTCATATACAACATCTTTCCAAATATCAAATTGAAAGTTATTGTTACTTTGCTTCCTCTTTCTTAAGCAGTCCAGTTCATGAGAATACTTCCCTCTGTTATGACTCTGACTTGACCTTCTGTGATATCTGAAATCATTCTAGAGAATCCCCAACCCCTAGAAAGAGGTTTTCAGTACAAATCTTTAGTGAGTTTGAGGAAATTAGTGAAGAAGTTAAATCAAAGGCACTGCTGGACATAAACCATTGTGTTTTACTTGTTAATTAAATAAGAATCTGAACAGGAACAAACCCTGCATATCTTTTAATCCATTTCAACTCTGTATTACTTCCTTAATTATTTAGAATGAAGGCATACCGATTGATTATACTGTATCTGATGTCTGTGGCTGTATAATTTATTTCTGTCATCCTTCAAAATGAATCAAGTGTAGGTGGCAAAGAGAACAAAATGTATTACTGTGCTTCAGCTGCCTGTTGGAATATTGTCAGTCCTAATTGTGGGTCATTTTCTGCCTAACTTCCCATTAATCAGAAATAAAAATTATTTTTCATTAAATTATTGCAAGCTTATCAACTGTAAAAACATTGAAAGTAAAATTATTAAGGCTACATTAAAGATTTTCATGCCTTATAATGCTGGTTCTGAAAGGATCCATTTATACTTAATAAACTAAACTTTTTAAAATATATAATGGGAGTGTTACAATTAGATACAAGAGCTGCCTAAAATATTTGAAAGACTCATCCACAACATTTGGGAGTATCCATAATGACTCTTCTCAAGTTAAAGCAGCCTTATCTCTGAGAAAGTTTAGGTAGCTGCTTTGGAAGGTATGCCCAGCTGTGTTGGCAATTATGAATAGATATAACCATTTTTTTGGGCTGGGAAAAAAACAGCAGGCAGACTAGGGCATTTATTAAACAGTGAAACCTAGATTTTGCTTTACAATGGACTTTGTATGCAGTAGACCAAATTTCCATAGTAATTGATGTCATTTGCATAAATTATGTCATTTTCCATAGATTTATATCATTTTAGTAATAACCACTTTATGCAAATGGCTAAATGGACTCAAGTAAGTGATCTCAACTGCATAATGATATCACAGCCGTGATGCAAAATGATACAGGTGACATAATATATGTAATCTATGTAATTATAATAAATTGTATTTAATAGAAATTTGTAAATAACTGATAACCTCTTCCTCTCTATTGGAAATGCCCCATGATACAAAGAAACCTTTAGGAAACTGATTCACTTAACATGCAAGCTTAACTAGTATGATGAGGTATCTACAATTTACCCTGGAAAAAACTAAAGCTGGGAATACTTTTTTCAAAATTATTGTGAAACAAAAATTTTGTGAAACATGACTGCAGCACTGAAATAATGATACTCTTCATTTTAATAAATAATTGTTGAGTTTAGTGTATGTTGTCAGCTATGATTCTACAAGTATTATTTAAGGCTTAAAATCTTAAATATTTTCTTTTATAGAACATAAATTGAATTAATAATGGACCTCACTCAAAATAGAAAAAAATGTTCCAAATAGAAAAAATGTTCCAAATATATAATGAAACACTATATAATAACGTATAGAAAATTAATGAATAAATAAAAACACTAAACATCACAAGTAAATCACAGGAATACTGGACCCAGTTAGAAAAAGCTATGAAATTACTTATTTGACATACACACAAAGTAACAATGAAACATCTCTTCAGAAGTCAATGTAGTTACTACAAAATATATAATAGGAGCATTTTCTAGTTATTAGTGAAGTCTAAATCATAACATATGCACAAATACAGTTGACCTAAAAACAATCTGGCATTTTAAATTTACAGTTGTGTTTCATCCTAAGTATTCCGAATTCCAACATTCAGCTGAAATAGCTGAGTCTGATTTGTCATTTATACATAATGCAGCTAGTGAAATTAATAAAACTATTTAGTAGGATATATAACTTGTGTTCCTGTCATACTAATCAATTTTATTTAATTTAAGTCTAAGGATTCATCATGTTATATGATTAGAGGAAATTATAAAAAAAATCCTAAACTTACAATATTATTATATCTCCACTCACTATATTTACTTCTGGAGAGAATCTGCAGAGAATTCACTTTCTACAATAAAACTATCAATAAACATTCATCACTAAACAAGCAGGTGATGTATGAAAATGTTGATGGGTAAGCCATGTAAAAGATGCCAAAGAACAATGCTGAACCCATAAAAGACTTCAGGGAACACCAACTAGGGCAGACTAAAGCTTATTCCCTGAACATGATTATTATCCAGTAATTAAGCATCAAGTCAGGACAAACCTATCTGTTGCACCATTTGTCTTCCGAATATGGTACATAGACCAACACATATTGATGCATATCAGTGTTAAAACAAATACGCACAAGTTCTTTCACCATGATTAAAACTCAATACAAACTTTACTGATAGGCTCCCTAAAGACTATTAATGCTGTTTTCAAATAAACGGAAGTAAACAGGCATCCTGTGCAAGGTATTAAATGTGCATGAGACATTTATGCGCGTTTGTCTGTGTCTTCAGTCCTTGATCTTGTCATGTTCCACTAGATGGTTTGAAGAAGATTTAGTAACTTCTTATGATCTTTCACTGCAAAGTTTTATTTGCAATGAATAGCATACCTGAAAACCTATTCCACAAGATCAGGAAGTAAGGAAGATGCCAGCATCTGCAATCACTTGTCCTTCACACACATTTAAATATCCTGTTTAGGCAGAATGACTGACTACAGCTAGAAACATATTTAATGCTATACTACTTATTAAGATTTTGTTTATCCCATCTCTATTATTTTTACAAATAACTCAAAGTTGCAAACATACCTAATACTCCTTTCTGTATTTTCTCGCCAACAACAACCCTGAGATGAGTTTGGCTGAGGGAGAGTGACTGTCCAAAGTTATCCACCTGGCTTTCATGCCTAAGGCAGGACTAGAACACATCGTCTCCCAGTTTCTAGTCTGACTTGCAATAAAGGCTGTTTCTGAAGCAATTACCAGTATATCTAGTGATTGAAACACAAATATCTCATGTCTAAAGCAGTAGCATTATCCCTTTAAAATATATTCACAAATGAATTTAACAATATAATTTTCTATCTACACCTCTCAATGTCTCAAAAGAAACCATGACTGAAGAGCTTTAGTATATACCAAATAAAGTATATAGGGTAGCTGAAAATGCATATCAAGTATATTTGACATGCTGCATTATATTATACAAGAGCTAATTAAGACAAATGCAGATTGGTGGGCCCCAAGATAGCACTGTGGGAATGGCCATTATGTTTTAAAAAGGAGTCAGAGATGATTCTAGTAGTTACAGACCAACAGATATACTGAATATTATAGAGTACCCAAGCTTTTTGTCATTTACATTGGAAAATCCTGGATAGAAAATGAATGCATCCTACTTGAAAAAAAAGTTGAATTTAGAGAAGGCTGATCTACCATAGATCAAATAATCATTGTTCAACAGTTAAAAAGTACTCTGCAAGGTCAAAATCTCCACATACATACAGAAACTGTTGTAGATTTCAGGAATGCTTCTGATTTGGTAATCATTCTGAATAATTTTTATACTCAAGGTGGTGCTGATGCCTGATATTCATTTATTTCAGGTAACAGCAATAACATAGCTTTTACATGATATATAATTAGGTTCCTATCCTAACTACATAGTCTCAAAATAATATAAACTAACAGCAATATTACAGCTTCCTGGATCATCCAAAACCCAACATTACGGCTGGAGGATGGGCTAGAAAATGTGTAACCAACTGCATAAATAATAATAGCCATTTATTGGTTGAAGAATATTAATTTAATTTAATTTATTTAATTTAATAATTTAATTTCTTGAAAAGTTTACCTCCACATAATTTTCAGTGCAGATGGAAACAGCCTTGTGTTTCCATATTTCTTCCTCTACCTTTTTACTCTCCTTATGTTGAGCAAGCTAAAATGGGAATAAGGCAGCAAATTAAAGATAAAAACAAATAAAATTTTCAAAGAGAAGAATAATAGAATCATCCATCTCAGAAAATCCTCCAGCAGATTTTGAGAACATTTCCAAAACCAAGATTTGATGTGTGTGTATCCACAGTATTACAGAGCAGATTTAGTAGTAACCCATATAAGGAACATACCTGTTCTTCTGGATTAAGACTGTGATGTGTAATTTATTATACTGTATATTTTACAGAAAAATCCATATTAAGTTCCACACTATAATCACCTCTTTAATGTAATTCCAAGACCACTGGGAGAACTTACACTTCTTTTCTGTCAAAACAGAACAATTCTATAGTACATAATTGGCATAATTTTCATGACTGCATCAATTGAATCTGGATTAGGTTTTATATTGACTAGTGACTGATAACTGACTAAAAATTAATTCTGATTTTATACGTATCCTATATGAGTGATATAATACTTTACAAATTTTACAGTATTGTTTATCTATATAAATTTTATGAAGTTTTAAAGAGAATATAAAAAGTAACACAAACTAATACAGAATAAAACAGAGAAAATAAAAAATAAAAGTACAGAAAGATAAAAAGAAATAGAAATTTCCAATTTCCTTTGCAACAAAGATGATTAGTTATTTCTTCCTTTATAATTACAAAAAACCTTCCCTTTTTTCTATATTTTTATAACTATCAAAATCACAAATTAGCCACAAATATATTGTCTTTTGTTTAATAAAAGCAGTCAATTTAGCCATTTCTGCAAGTTCCATCATCGTCAAGCATGGGTAATGTGGAACTTATTAATCTTGTAAAAGTTTATTTGAGTTTGGGCTATATTATTAAAGCATTGTATTTAATAGTATAATATAAATTCTATATACTTATATTAACCAGTGTGCAGAGTCTATCTTATTTCCGTTTACTATTACAGGATGCCTTGTGTCATAGACATACGATATAGTTAGTGATTAATTTTATATTGTTCTATATCTGATCAAAATCTGGGAAAAGTTGAGAGATAATATCTGGCTTCTTTGGTTTTTTTTAAAAAAAGATGCATGGTCATACTTAATCTAAACTAAAAAGGGGTCAAAATTATCATAATTCCCTATTAAACTCTTATACAATAAACCTGATTTACAAGAAATATGCAAGGGATTAAACCAACAAGCAACTCCCCACCTTAATGAAAATAGTAGTCTATAGAAGTTTAGATGGTTTCCCAGAGTTTCCTGAAAGGTAGGTCATATTTATTACTGTGCATATGAAGAGGAAGTTCCTTTGACACAATCCATGTTATGAAGCGACTTCAGGCAAGGATATCACCATTCCCCACCCCGACAGAAAACAGCAGCTGACAAAAAATCAAGAGAGCAGGAGCCACAGCTACTCCATCTTAACTTCCAAAAGGCAGGTCTGGAGAAACACTCCCGGCTTTCAATCCAGTTTATCCATCATCCTATCCCTATCTACTTCTTAGAGAGCATTACTCTGGGGCCCATCGTCCCCGCCTTCGATTTCAATCGCTTTTCAACTCTTTCCACACTATGCACGAAGAGGGGGACTTTTCCCGGACTGCAAATCCTCTAGGAGGAAAGGGAGGTGGACCCCTGCCTACTTGCCACCCCGCATGGTCTCCTTCCAATCCACCTGATTCTCCCTCACAGGGCTTCGCAATTCCCACCCACTCAAAGCGGCTAGACTCCCTCCTCTTCTCTCCCACCCAAGGATTTTTCTGCACCCCCCCCCCTCTTCCCTTTCAGATCCCCACCCGAAACTCCTCCCTTGTGGGGAAGGGGGGGAAGAAACACTCTGCACCCTTTCCCTGCCCCCCTCCGGCCAAGAACACGAGTTCTCCTTTCTACCCCACACCTATAGGTTTGGTTGGGTCCCCCCCCCCATCCTTTAGTTTTAGGTGCTAAAATATTCTGTCAATAATCCTCCCGGTGTGCCCATCCCACCTCCCAGATCTTTCTCCCCGCCGAGCCGAAGGCATAGGGCGGGGAAGCTGAGCCCTGGGGTTTTCTCCTACCCGGGCGCCTTAGCTAGGCCCGGTGGCGACGGGACGGAAAGCGGCCGGCGGAGGGCTTCGCTGGGCAGGAGTCGGAAGGCGCTTCCCGCAACTCCTCGGACGCCCCGAGGCGGCAGCTGCTTCAAGTTTATGGCGGCTTTTCCCTCCCTTCCTCCCTCGGCGGCAGCCTTCCTTCCTTCCTACCTGCCTGCCCGCCTGCCGGTCTGTCTCTCCGGGCTCCGGCCCAGCGAGGGGCGCGGATGGGCAGGAAGAGGTGGCGGAAAGGAGAGGGGCGAGGAGAGATGGGCTGCCTTCGGCGGCGGGCTTCACTCTTTGTCTCGGCGGCGGCCGAGATCTGGGCTCGTGGCTCTTCCCTCGCCTTCCTTTGCTCAGAGGCGGGCAGCGCTCAAGGAGAGCTGCCGGTCTGGCACCGCCGCCTTTGCGGGCTTCTCTTCCACGCCCGTTCCCGGTCCGACGTGTCCAAGGCCCAGTGCTGCCGCTCGGCTCGGCTCAGCCTCGGCAACCCGGCGGCAGCAGCCACAGCTCCCGCCCCTCCCCTTCGCATAAGAGGCAGGCAGCTCCCTCCCCCTCCTTCTCCTCTCCGCCTGCCCCTTCCCTTCCTACCGCCGGGATCGCGCAAGAGAGAGGCGGAGATGCGAAGCCCACGAGTCCGCCCACCCATCCCCCGCTCCTTCTCCCGAGGAGGAGGATCTCTTGCCCCACCACCTTTTTTTCCCCCAAGTCCTGCTCTCCTCCATCCGGTCGACCAGGAAATGCCGAGGGGAGGAGTGAGAAAAAACGAACACGCACACACAATTATTGGAAGCGTGAAAATTGCCGAGTCTGGTTTTGCTTTTTTTTTTTTTCTCGTGTGCAGAACTGGAGAAGTTTGTGAGGGCTCTGTTTGCCGTCCCCGGGACACGATGGGTGGGACGGTGAGACCAAGCGCGGCGCTGGACGCTGACCCGAGGCAGGACTCGCGCCTGTGTCGCGTCAGACGCCAAACCGCCGTGTTGTGTTGGTTGTTAGCAGGAGGCGCCTTTCCCCACGCCCAGGGCTCTGCAATCGGGATTTTGCGATGTCTTCTTAACTGGGTCCCTGCCGGTCTGTCAGCCTCGTTCAATTTTCAAGGTCTGAAGAGATGAAGGTTTAGCAGCTCAAATCAGAGCTTCAGTTGATTCCAACCTATGATTTGCCAATCTAGGTCTTCCGTTTTGACGATGTGACTATGCATTACAAAATGCCCTCAAATCCATATAATATTTTACTCTAAAGAAGCCCAAAGCCGCGCCTCTGGCAAGGCGTAATTATAAATCCTGCTCCCGGCTCCTGCTTCCGCTGTCTCAAATGATGCTCAGTTCATTTGGAAAAGAGGCGGGGAACAACGTATTGTCTTGTTTGCCTTATTGGGCACGGGAGGACGGCGTTTCCTATTTCCCTGGAGAAACTTGATGGATTTAGACCAGTCCAAGTTTTCTGCGGGTCAAACAGGTTGCTGCCTAAAAAGAGAAAGCAGCCAATCCCGCTCCATGAATTTGCCACCTTTACAGAAAAGTCCTTCAGAAAAATGGACTTTCAGTCACTGGAATTACTTCCTGAGGATGTTCAAAAGAGAAAGAAATAATTTATCTCCACCCGTGGATGGGTTTTCGAAAGAAATGTGTTACAATAGGGCAGGATTACTTCCATAAATACTCCCTATTTAGCCTGTTCTGTATCAAGTTAGGTAAAACATACACAAAACGTACAGATAGCATTCCTAATAGAAGTATAAAGTTCCACAAGGACATAAAATCAGAATCATAAATGCAGTGTAATAATAGAATTATATAAAAACTATAAAGAAGAACTGTAACTGCAAAATACTGAATAGCTCAAAGTACTACACTGAGAAATAACTTCTACTTTGATGCCTGTGATCTATCAGATTACCATAAATAAATATGGATAGATTTTTTCCAGTATTGCAGACTTGTCTAACCAGATTCTGAGTTTCTCTGAGAATATTCTTAATTTACAAGAAATGGCATATCATTCATTTGCTAGTTGTTAATGTTAACAAAAACTATTTTGTGTTAAGTAACATTGAAAGTATTCCCCCTCTTTATTAGTGTATAAAAGTTTGTAAGGATATATAGTTGGAAAAGGTTAAGTTAGAAATATACTGTTCTCAAAACACAAATACCTTTGTGTTTCAGTGATACGTATTTTATATTTTCAGTGAGATCTGTGGAAGTTATGCAAGAGATTGAGTATTCACTGTTCTCTTAGTGGAAAAGATAAATGAAACAATCTTGCTAACATAACAATTAAAAGTTATAATATCAGTCAGCTGATAACTGGCTTAGAAAGAAAATTAAACATAAATACCAAAGGGCAACACGTTACTCTTTGTATACCTGTTTCCTAATTAGCATTTAGTAAACTTTTTTAACTCTGCAGAGAATCCCTGATATACTTCTTGAAATCATGTAGTTATAAGATAATAAAACTAAGATACAGTTTCCCCAAAGCAGATTTTGATTTATAGCCTGTGACAAGGAGTACCCTATGAACCACAAACAGCCCTGAAATGCTTTCTATAGCTTGAAAGCTAGATAGTAGGATTGCAGTTTCAAATTTGGCAACAATTTATACAAAATTAGCCATGTAATTTCCTGCAGTTGATTTCTGGCATGAAATTAAAGAAACAAGATACTCTTACATTTTCATAAATCTACACTTTTTAAAACAGTCCTATGAATTTGCATGATATTAAGACATTGATGCTCCATTCACTGATGTTGTTGCCCACACTCAGAAAATCAAATGGTTGCCTGCCTCAAACAGGAAACTTTAATGGCAGATTTAAACCAAGTTCAATCTTAGCAATAAATATATGTCACTGCAATAAACAGAACTTAAAAGAGCCCAAACCTTTGGTGTTCATATACACACTACAATTTACATTATTGCTACAGAGTAAGATAGTAAAATAAAAAGAAATTAAAAATTTGGAAATGTCTTTCACTCTGTGGGGAAATCATATGTAAAATGTTTAATTAATTACCACTGAATCAGATTCCAATTGAAGCTGACAATAACATAGCTGCTTTTATTACATGACTGCTGCATTGTCAATTAAATTTATTAAAAACATGGTGAATGAGGTATCATTTCAGAATGGAAAAAATTTGCAACATCCATGCATATGTTCTTAAAAGACTCATCTGTATATTTCCAATATACATTGAGGAAATATATGGATGCTCTTGCAATTTGTATTATAATCAATGCATTATGTTTATATAGCAGTGATTCTAGAGGGAAAAGTGTGACCATAAATGTGGAACTATTTGAGGGCTAGCTTACATGGGGGGGGGGGACTTTTTTGGAACAGCAAACCTTTTGTAATAGCATTAACTTACAAGGTTCAAAAATGAATTGAGACTGCAGTGTCCAACACTTTCAGGTTGCATAGCATTCTGGAGAACAGGGATGTAATTCTCCACTGTTTGCATTACAATTACTCTCACTATTTTTTCTTAATTGTAGGAGCATGATAAACATTCCCAAATCAATCTGATAAACTCTGCATTGTGAATAGTGTGCCATACAAGAGTTACTACCCAAGTACACTTGAAAAGTCCCTCTCTAGGAAAGCTAGGGCTGCCTTGTGAGCCATTGAACTTGATGGTCCCTTCTGAGAGAAATCACTAGGCTCCTGCATATCATGCTAAATCACAATTTGTTTAAGTGTGGTTGACTGAATAAACAATAGGCTAGGTACCATCACGTTCTGGATTTTAAATGAAGCTAATCAAAATGGCTACGTTGACATAACATTCAAGCCAAAAGCAAACAAACTGTTCTGTTACTTGGCTGCTTTGCTGAAATAAGCAGGAGGTTGGGTGCAACTTTTCCTGGGCTTCGGGCAATGTCTGGTTTTTGAATGGCATGGCAGCACACCAATCCAGAAAGAATGAGTGGTCCACACAAAAAAACTAAATATAATTTAATTTTAATTAACATAAAATCTAATTATGTCTATCACTCAAATAATGCATTTACCCTTGTATCACAGTCTAACTTAGAAACACTTTGAGATCTTTGGGGCCTAACCCAAGTTTTTCAGGGTTCATGCAATCAAATTCCATTCCTTTTTTATGTGTGTTATATGTATGAGGCTATGATTGCATGAATGCAAGTGACTTTTTTTTTTTAGCCTCACCTTTGCAGACCTCTTTGTATGCAACTCTGTGGCTTATTGCAATATCTAAACTCTGTATACCCGGGATCTGAAATGTTATTAGTGAGTTTTATGGAAGTACAGTATTTAGCTTTTTTTCCCCCCCACTAGATTATTTATATAACTCTTTTCCTCACAATATTTTAAAATCATTTATCATATTCTAGAAAATTTCATGCTGTATCACATCATTGTTTTGGACTTTGGGATATGCTTTCTTAGAGAAAGAGAAGTGGGATAGTAATACAGTACATTCATACATATACACACAGAGAGATTATATAAAATAGGATTAAAATTAATGTAAGTGATGCTTACATTACAATCTCAAAATTCTTAAATTCTTTGAGCATATATTAATTTGTCTTTTTATAGAGACCCATATGAATGTCAGTTGCTTATCACAAATAGATAAGCAAAGAATTTACATTCATGTGTCATGATAATCTAAAATTGGTGCAATGTCTGGCTTCTTGTTAATAAGCAGCATAGTTGTGCATGCTTGACTGACCATTTCTATTTTGCTTTTACAGCATGGGAGAATGAATGCCTGCCAGTGGGTGTGCCAACAAGCCAAATGTCATCCCTGTTTTTTAAAGTCTCCTAACGAGCTAAATACTGGAGGTTTCTAGTTTGTTTGATTGTGACAGGCTAGAAGTTCCAGTAATGCTGAACAAATCAACACTGGAGGTTACCTAATTTATTTAGCTACACAGCAGTTCTGCTTTATTGTATATCAACTAGCCCATGAAATATGCAATGTCATTATTTTTAACTAAAATAACAGTGCCATAATTCATCAGTCTAGATTCCTGTCTCACAGTCTGTCTGACTGACAATGGAATTAAAAATCACTTGATATATCTTACAAACAAGAAACACACAGATTTTTTATTATGATTAAAAGTACAAAACAATCGGAAAAAATTACAATTATCCTTGTTGGGAAAAATTTCAGCTGTTAAAATGAATGTTCTACCAAAGTTTCTTTTTTTGTTTCAAATGATACCTACTTTGAAAAAAGATGCCAATTTGGATGAATGGCAGAAGGGTATTAATAAATTTATTCGGGTGGGGAAAAAAACAAGAATTAAATTTAAGACCTTACAAGACGCACGGGAAAGAGGACTTAAGGCGCCTAATTTGAAATTATACTATGATGCGGTGGTTTTAACACTGGTTAGTGATTGGCTTAATTTAACAAATAAAAATATACTTCACCTTGAGGGATGGGATTTATTATATGGGTGGCATGCATACTTAATTTATAACAAAAAAGTTGACCAGGCTTTTAAATCTCATATTTTAAGAAGTGCTTTATTGCGTATCTAGAAGAAGTATTATGAACC